TAAAGTGTTTTTTGGATAAAAATAAGCTTGATATTGTATCCATCTAGTCGGCGTGACGTCAGTCCGTGTTAAAAGTATTGTTTTAAAATTAACCATCTTGAATTGGGGGAAAACAAACTAAAAAATCAATTGCGGATTGAGTTGAGTTTTAAATATTTTTTTGAATCTAAAAAAGTTGTTGTGCAGTTTGTTGCACTACCAAAAAAAAAAAAAAAAAAATCGAAACTTAAGTCTTCCTAAAGATGAAGTACTTAAAAGAAAGTGGTTGAATACGATAAATCGTGCTGCCGATATTACTCAATGGTTTCCTAAAATCTTGTAATGCTGGCATAAATGTTTAGCACACTTTATTACTGGTGTGTTTCTTTTGATTTACATCTTAATTTAGTACTGGTAAATAAATATCAAAATATTAGTACTTTTTATACCCAAAAATAACCAAAATAATATGTAGACAGCAAGGTGTCATTTTATTTAAAAAGAGATCTAAGTGTATGTAAAAATAAAGTAAAATCATCTAATTGACTTATATTTTGCAGACCTCTATTCACTGTTCCTTTTGATTAGCTTTTAAAGTAATTGTAGGACATAAAGTTATTTTTAAATAATATACTCTTAACTTTGCGTATAAGTAAGAATAGTTTGTTTTTCCCCAATTCAATATGGTTATTTTTGATTTCGCGATATAGGCACGTGATTCTGTCTGAATGGATTTAAAATTTTTTTAAAGGAAGTTGTAATAGGCTGGCGTCTGTTGTCGAAAAAGCTTTTAAAAAATTGTTATAGACATTTAGTATCTTATTAAATAAGGTACTAAATGTGTATAAATTGATTTAATCCCAAAGAGTTTCCAGATTTTTACCGTATAATAGAGTATAGAATTTTGAGTATAGAACCCATCTTAGAGTTTAAATTAGAACGATTTCTAATAAAAAAGTTAAAAAAAAAATTTATTCTTTTTCTAGTTACGTCCAAATAATTATTAATTTAGATTTGAAATTTAGTTAGTGTATTCTTAAGTAATTGCTTAATTTTTATGTTTATGATATGGCTAATCTAAGTTTTTCTAGATCTTTGTATTTTTTGCTCTATTTCGTTAAGATACTTATTATTTGCCATTTTTACGTTATGTTTTAAAGGAGGACTTTAATTACAACAAAGATATTATTATTAAACAACATTTACATTACTTCTGATGTTTATCTCGCAGCTCAATGTTAGAAAACATAAAAATAAAAAGTGATCTTATAAGAAAAAATAACATTCTAGTCCGTATTATTATTGTTATCAGACTCTTTTTGTCAACCTCCTCGAAAGAGTTATCATTATGATTGATGTGAGCATTACATCTAAAAAGTTCTGCAGATATTACACAAGCTTTAATAAAAATTCATTTTTTGATGAACAATTATTAATAACAATAAACAAATTCAAACTGGTGCAGAAGACACCAGATTAGAGCATCAGATTACTTCTATCCAAGATATGGCTATTTAAACCTTAATCATTAAACCAACCGTTTGCTTAGACTTGATAGGTTAATTACTGCTACATGTGATTCTTTTTATGATCCACTCCTACATGTGACTCTTTTTATGTGTTGCACGAGCAAATCTTGTTTTAGTGGTAAAGTTTCCTTAATGCAAACATAGAGATACAATTTTCTAAGGAGCGTCACTCCGTTGAAATTTTGTTTGAAAAAACGCATTTAAATAAACAATTACACAAGTTTCCTAAGAGTATTCTGGTGGCCTATTATTATATATTTATTCTAATAAAACAAAATAAAAGAATTTTATTTTTTATTAAACAGTTATAATTTTATTTACGTATTTATGGAAAACTCTAAATTAAGAACAATAATGTAAAAAAGTTTAAAAATATTAAAAATCACTCAAAAGTATAAAAACCAAAAATTATGGACGAACTAATTTTAATATGGCCTTAAAGGACATAGATTGGTAGCTATAATGAGATTGGTAGCTATAATGAGATTGGTAGCTTTAAAAAAAAATATTTATTTAACAATATTAAAAAAAGAGACTTCACAAATGAGTAAAGAAGAAAAAAACGATCTCGAGTTTAAACATTGCAGGTTCAGGTATAACTGTTTATGTTACTTTTATAATTAAAATGACTTTGTTTGACGGAAAGGTAACAATACAAAACTAATACAAAATTATTTCAGTCATGTGGATAGCTCTAAGTTTAATGAAGTGCATAATATAGTAAAAAAAAACAACACTTATAATAAGAAAGCGTTTAGACTAGGTATTTCAAATTTGCAATTTTGGATAAGATCATTCAAGCTTATATCGCATTTAAGTTATAAAATTGTAAACAAGAAATTTCAAGACAGAAAAATGAAAGAAAAAATTTCTTTAAAGTTAAAAAAAATGTAAATTCAATCAACAATTAGAGAAAATTTTTTGAACAATCAAAAGTGGGTTTGGTAACAGCATTAACAGAAACACTGCAAAGGTGAGTATTTGAGACTTTTTATGAAATAACATGAGATTGATGATTAGACTTTTTATAAAATAACAGGAGTTTGAAGTAGAAATTATAAAGAGAGTAATATCTTCCTTACAGTGGCGTAACATAACGGCAGTCCCGCGCAGAGACAGATCCAGCATTTTTTGGTGTTTGAGATAGCTAACTTCTAGATATAGAAAACTCTAAACTTTTTTATGTTTATACTTATGTCAAATACTGATGCTTTGCAAAAAATTGCAATGATTGGAGGCTGGAAACAAAAAAGCCCTTATACTTTATCCCAAAACGTAAGGGGCAACAAGTTGATAAAAAAATTTGTACTATTCTCAACTAGACTTATATTCATCGATAAAACCTACGACCATATAAATATTAACCCCCCTCAATTTAGCGGGGTTATAATGGTTACAATCAGGTAATACAAATTTTTACCAAAATAAAACAAATAATTGACCAGTTTTTCCAACTTGGTTGGTCCAGGATATATTATAATGGAAGCACAACTTATAGCTCAAGTTATAGAAGACTTTAGCTATGCAAAAGATAGTTTTTAATAAAAGTTTATGATATAACTAGTCTTGCTTCCTAACTGGTTTACATCATGGATTGCCATGGTTACCTAAACAATCGTCGAGAAAGAGTAAAAATACTTGAGTCTGTAACAAAATGAAAATGTATTAAAACTTGAGTCATTCAAACCAGTGTTCTTGGGCCTACATTATTTATATTATTAATCAGTACCCTACATACCATAGCTTTTAAGAGATTTATTTTACGTTCATTTTCTTTCTTGCAGCCTTGCAGCAAAAAAAAAAGGCTCCATGTATTTCACTATTCCATCATTAAAAATTATTCATAATGATGCAAGAAAATCATATCAATTCAATACCTGATGTTTACTAAAATAATCTGATACTTCACACCTAATAAACTTAAAACTATCTTTAACCATAAATAGAAACCTTGACTGATTTTTACTTAAAACTGAAGCTGCTTGCACTACATTTTACAAAAAAAAGGTTTGTTCAGAGATATTACCCCTTGACTTCGTGTTAGTGTCTAAAATTTGTAGCTTTTTAAGTAATATTGCAGCTACATTTTCCGCTTAACATTTAACTTTTTTTTTTTCACAATTATTTTCGTTGTTTTAGAATTCAAGTACGTAGTATAAAAAAACTTATACACATTAAAAAATAAACAATTTATATATATGAAAGCAAAAAAGAAATTTAACGTATAAAAGTTAATTATTATAAATTTTCATAAAGCAACAGTGTTGTAGTTAAAAAACACGGTAAACTCGCAGAAGACCAGAAGGTCTTATCATCAAGAACTGCTGTGTAGCATTCATGTTTTTACAGTACTAAGTTTTTGACAATAATATTAAAAACATAAGTTAAAATGGACATAGTATAGAATAAATAGTATTAAAAACTAAAAACTCTCAAATTTGTAACTAAAATCAAAATAAAAAAGTAATTAAAAGAAAATCGTTATTAAAAATTTGTATACTCTAAAATATTCTTTTCAATTAATTTTTGATAGCAATTTATATTTTTACTCGTGTTATAATATTATCTTTTGCTAAGATTTTATTCCAAATATAAGGAGCACGATATGTAATTTTAAAATGTTCCTGTAGACACTAACTCAGCCATGTTTAAAATTTTAAACAAAAATGTCTTTACACTCCGGCAGTTAAAATTAAATGTTTGGAGCCTTGGGTTTTTGCTTTTAGGTAAAATTTGTTTTTGCCAAATTATGTCTCAATACAAAACGCTCATTTTCGATCCATACTCACAATAGTAATTTAGTATTCTTGATAGCTTATATAAATTGGTTTAATAAATTTTATAAACAGGTTATTTTCTCACTCTAAATAACCCTCAGCTTATTAAGTGTGAGTAAAAAACAGAGTTGTCACTCAGTAGTATTTAAAAAAAGAATTGTTAACAAGACCAAAAGTTACAAAGATAAGGACAAGGCTAAGGCCAAAGAGTTTTAAGGTCAAGGTTAAGAATAAGAGTTTCAAGGTTACGCAAACATTTTCAAGACTTAAATTTTTGCGTTACGTTAAAGCCGATTATTAACAAATCTGTAGGTAACAATTGCTAAGACAATGAAACCATATGTTGTAAAAATAAACCAAGTTTATATGCAGAACTCAACAAAGTCAATAAGAAATTATTCTTATAGATATATATGAAAGACAAAAACAAAAATACATAAAAATAAAAAATGAAAACTTTAAATTCATTAATTTTATGTATTTTATGTTGAAGGCCAAGGTCAAAACAATCAAGACCATAGCCAAAATTTTCAAGGTCGAGGCTAACAGTTTCAAGACCAACGCCAAGGTCTTAATTTTTGGCCTTAAGGAAAGGCCGAAGCCAAGGTCAAGGACTAACAACTTTGGTAAGTAACTTAGTAATTCAGGAGCTACTTGCATAACGCGATGCATCGCGATGGGTACGCAAATAAAAATAATAAAATAAAGTTAGAGATAACGAAAGTAGAATTCTTCCGGGAACGTACCTGCGTTTATTTTGTCGACACTGCAAGCAAATGTCTTCAAACATTTACTTTTCAACTTTTCATTTGCTTCGTTCACCTCGTTTTATTCGTTGTTTAAATGTGTCTAGATGTATCAGTTCGAAAAGTTGTTGGTTGAAATCAAAAAAAGAGGAAACAAACGTTGTCAGTGAAAGTTTCAGCAACTCTAAATTGAATGAAATTAATGGTGAAAAGGTTGATCCATTAAGCGTTTCAAATGCTTTAAAATTTGATCAAACAAGTAATTTTAGTGATTCTAATAGTAATCAAGGTGAAAATAACATATTCAGCGATGACGATATAAATGCACAAATACTAAATGTAGCTCTTCAATATGTTCCTAAACATGGCTGGACTGTGACAAGTATTGATGAGGCAGTTAAAGAACTTGATTTATCTGTAAGTGCTGCAGGAATTTTTAAAAGAGGTGGTACTGATTTAGTATTACATTTTATTGAAGAATGTAACAATTCTCTCTCTATGCAGTTAGCTTCAATTGCAAAAAATAGATCGGTAGATAGTAAAATGAGTCAAGCTGAGTTCATAGAATTTGCTATAAAAACTCGTTTACAAATGATTATTCCATATATCGATAGTTGGCCTCAAGCAATGAAACTAATGGCTTCTCCTATTGCAGCACCAGAATGTATTCAATTAGGAGCTCATTTAATGGATGAAATTTGGTATTACGCGGGAGATACCTCTACTGATATGAGTTGGTATTCCAAGCGAGCAACATTATCAGCTATATATATTGCAACAGAAATTTATCTATTGAATGACAAATCACAAGATTTTGTTAACACATGGGCTTTTTTACATAATCGAATGAAGGAAGTAAAAAATTTAGAGAAATTCAAACATTCATTTGAAGAGTTTTTATCAGGCACATTTTCGTTTTTTTGTGCTGGTATAACAACAGCTCAAAATATTATTGGCATAAACAATAGATCCAACAGATAAAACATTATGATTTTTTTTTTAATAAAGTTAAAAAAGTAGTTTTATTTGTGTTTAATGAAAAATTGGTTTGTTTATGCTAAAAAGTTGGCCTTAGTGCTTTTTGCTGTAAAGTTGTTTATATATGTCTCTTATGGTGAATATTTATGTTTTTTTAAGGTTGTTTTTGTAACAATATTTTTGTTCATTTTTATTGTGGCAAGTTTATAGCATTTGTAAAGCTTTTTTTTTTCTTATTTTGTCAAAATTTAACTATTTAATATGAGCATAAATGTATTTGAATCTGTATTATAATAAAGTACAGTTAAGACCATATATTTTTTCTATATACTAGTTTTTATAATAATCTATACCAAACTGAAAAATGCAAACTTTTTTAAACTAATAATATACTGATGGTTAGGTTCATTTTCATTGAAGTTTACATGAAATAAAGAAAAAAAAAGGTTTTAATTATAAAAGGCTATAGTCTTATGACTATAGTCATTATTTATTAAGACAAATAATTATTAATTAAATATAATAATAATAAAATAAATTAATATAAATATTAAAATGATGACATTAGTATTTTTAAAATTATTGTTAATTAAATATAATAATAATAAAATAATTTAATATAAATATTAAAATGATGAAGAACTTTTTAGTAAAGTAGTAATATGATAAATAGTCAGATTCAATAAAAGAAAAATAACTAAATTATTATTTTCTTAAATTGTTATGAATCAAATTTATACTTTTTATTAGTCAATACTAATTGTAACTATATGTTTTTAGGATAACTAAAGATTTATTATGGATGAACAGATTCTCTATGATCTTATTGTTCATGAGGAATGGGTTCAAGATCCTGTAACAGTGGTAATTTAGTTATATGTTGTTTTTGATAAATGTAAGAACAATTAAGTAAGGGAACCTGTTGTACCTAGGACAGTTTTTCAGATATATATTTTTTATTGTGATTTGGCGCACAGCACATAAATGATAGTTGCATATTTTGAAAGGTCAATTTTATGGGTACTCACCACCAAAATATCAGAAATGTATATTTCATACTTAATACATAGATTTTAAAGTTAAAAAAATGGTAATTAAGGCCAAGGTACAAAATACCCTATGTACCTGGGCTAGTACTATGGTGTACCTAGGGCACATTGAGAATTTAGAGTGAATTCAAGTAAGTTATTGACTTTTCTTAACCCAAATCGTTTTATTTGGTCTATTACGTCATATTTCAAAACACTTTCGAAAATCAAAATAATATTCAATTTTTTTTTTACTTTTCAAACAAAATCTTTAAACAAAAACATCAAGTTTTTAATTATTATTTTGTCACATCACAAACTTTAAAATTAGTAGATTTGAAGATATCACATTATGTGTATATATATATATATATATATATATATATATATATATATATATATATATATATATTATATATATATATATATATATATATATATATATATATATATCAGCGGTGTACACTGGACTTTTAGATGTTTGAGTTTTGACACTTACAGGTATTGTGCAAACTCCAAACTTTTGTATGTTCATGCATATGTCAAATGAGAATGTTTTGTAAAGAGTTGCGGTGATAAGAGCTTGGGGACAAAAATACCCCAATTTTTGGGCCCACCCAGCCCTTAACGTGGGAGCAACAAGTTGATAAAATTATTTTTTTAGTATTTTTATCTAAGTTTATATTAATCAACAAATTTCAAATTTCATCCAATAATTTTTTTATTTTTCGAAAGTTATGACCATATAAAGTTTACAACCCCCTCATTTTGAGGGGGCTGTAAACTTTGTAGGGTCATAAAAACTAAAAACTATAAGGTTATTGCATGAAATTTGAAATTCGTTGATGAATATAAACTTAGATAAAAATACTAAAGAAATTATTTTATCAACTTGTTGCTTCCACATTAAAGGCTGGGTGGGCCCAAAAATTGGGTTTTTTTGTCCCCAAGCTCCAAAATAAAACATTTATATAAACCATATATATATATATATATATATATATATATATATATATATATATATATATATATATATATATATATATATATATATATATATATATATATATATATATATATATATATATATATATATATATATGTTTAATGAAACAATACTATCTTACAAAGCATAGAAAATTAAATATTTAAACAACTTTATAAGTTATCATTTCTCTCTTAACTTTTTAATCAGTGATTCACTTTTATAAGAATACTATTAATATGAAGATATATTATTCATTTAGTAGAAATCCCAGTACTTCTATATCTCTTGAATAAAATAAATTTCTCTGTTCTTGTTCACTTTTTGCGGGGTTCGAATTTTTTCTATAATGTCACTTATTAGACACAGTTTCAAATCCTCTTTTTCAGGGCAATCAGTTTTTAAGTGATTTTTGCATTTGTTTTAGTAATATACCTTCTTCAGATATTGATTCTACCTTTCCGACAAAATAAGAACCTTGTAATTTTCTCTATTAACATGTTCAACCTGTAGGTTCTCATCATCGCTGTTATTGTCGGAGGTACCTTCAGACGTGTCACTCGTTGAATAGCTGTTAGATTCTTCAATAGATTCTGGTTCAGATAGAATTGTTCTTTTTATCTTTTTTTAATTATTGAGTCTTTTTCTATTCATTAACCTATTTGAAACATTTTTTTTAGCCTTTATATTTTCATTTCCTTTTTTTTCTGGTGTATCGATCAAAATTCTGTATCTTTCCTTTTGTCTTCCTTTTTCGTGTTTCTTTACAAGGTTCGGCTTTTGGGTAAGGGCGTATTATACCCGACGATATAAAAGTTGGCAATTCTCTGTGTATAACTTTGGAACCTGAAGCAGCCGGCTGACAAACAGGCACCTGATCAATTTTGGTGGGTGATTTTTCAGTAAGTGGACAATTAGAATAGGATGCAGGCATAAAATCAGCATCTATGTAGATGTTTTCATTCAAAGGATGGAAACCAGTTGAACAAAAACCTTTACAAATATTGTTTGCTGTGAAGGCAATAGGAAAAGCTTTTCCCACCAAGCCAGCAATATCATATATATTTAATGGTTTTCCCACATGACCTGGAGACATTAGTAACTCATTAGTCGCTGTATTAAAATAAGTCTTGAAAGGCCCAAAAATTGTCGTCTAATGGCTGCATATGATTACTAGTATGTGGATGTACAGTAATAAGCTTTACACCATTGTCTTTGGCTTTTTGTATTGTGGGTTCTGAAATATGACTTTCATGATTTTCCATTATGAGAATGACAAGCTGTTCTTTGCATATTTGATAAAATGCTGGAGGAATTTCACAAACATAATTTCTTTTGACCATAAACATGAGTATTAAATATGAGTATAAAATTGCTAAAATATTAGTATAAAAAATTATAAACATATACTTAAAAAAAGGTTGATAAATTAAGACAGCTTATAAAACTTACTATAATCTGTTAATTACTTTATTATTGTATGTATGTACTATAGTACATACATATAGTATACTAACCTGTTTGTATTTTACATTATATAATTAGAAATTTTTCAAACAGAGATATAGATAGAACAACACTCAAAAATGTAGCAAATCACTACAAAGTTACTAAATGCAAAGTCAAAAACAAAATATTATCTTTAAAAATTTCTAATTATATAGTGTAAAATACACATAGCCTGTGTGTAATTTAAATAGTAAATATTTAAAAAAATTGCTATTTAGTGATATTTTCTCAATTAATACTTTTCTAGAAATTTCCGTGTCAAAAAACACTAAGGGCAAAGTAGCCACTGACCAAGGAACAACTGGTCGACAGTGACCGAGGTACAACAACTCTCCAACTTCAACAAAACAATGAATTTTAAGTAGTTTTAAAGTTACTTATCTCTTAAGTTTTTTATTGTTTGGACACTTAATGAATATAAAAATCTATTGCATGTAATAAGTAATTGACTATTATAAAACGTTTAAAACTATCAGACTTCAAAATATATTAGAAATACTTACTTTGTTTCTGAAAAAAGGTTTTAACGTCGATTACAGAAAACACTGGCTTAATGGCGGTATGTGACATCACATACCCCCATTAAGCCAATGTTTTCTGGTACACCACAACCAACTTGGTACATCACAACGACTCTTCAATATGAACTTCATATTGAAGAGTCGGTTGTGATGTAATAAATACCATAGACAATAAAATTTAATATCATGCAATCAATTGAAATGAACCCAGTGGCCTAGGTACACATAGTGCCAAGGTTCAACAGGTTCCCCTATATATTGTTTTTTGATAAATGTAAGGATAATTAGTTATATATTGTTTTTGATACATGTAAAACAAGTTTTTACATGGGTATGAAGTTCAATACCATAGCTAATAGAAAGTTCGTGAATAATTTGCCAAGCAAGTTTTGGATCTACAGGTAAATAACTGCAACTCTATTAAATTTTATGAATATAAGTTAAATTAATGACTAAAATTTTTTTATTTTGATTGATTTATGGTCGATTTATATATTTTTAATGCGTTTTAATTTGTTAAAGCATCTTTTTTAAATTTCCATTTGGCAGGTCTTTTAAAAAGCATTCGGACCTTGCAAGAAGAATACCAGAAAATTTGGGCTGGTGGCCCAAATTTTCTCGTATTCTTCTTGCAAGATCCGAATGCTTTTTAAACCAGAAAACTCAAGTAGAGTATTAATTTAGGTTTAGATTGGCAGGGACATTGGGATGGCTAAAAATAATTACCTCAAAAGGTGTAAAAAATGTTTACTGCATTGCTCCTGACACAAAAATGCAAATAACTGTTCTTGGCTTCGTATCAGAACACGCAAATTACCAAAAATCTTTGGTTATATTTCCAGAAGAACAGCTTCATTATAATTTAGATCATGTGAATCCATCTGACTATCTTCTTTGCAGATCCATTAATGAGTCAATTTTAAGCAACTGTTTGTTTTCTTGGTTGGCTAATAATTTCTATCTATCAGTAAAAGAATATATTACTTTTCCCATAATTGTTTTTACGAACGGACACTCAACACATATGAATGTCAGCGTCAGTGAGTTCTGTCAAAACAATAGAATTATTTTGCATTGTTTTCCAGCTCAAGCTAGCTATCTGATGCAGCCCTTAGATGTTTCAGTATATGGGCTGCTAAAAACATATTGGAATGAAGCTTTAAAAGATTTTAGCAATCAGTCCTAACATGGTAATGACAAAAGTAAGTTTTTTTTCAGTTTTTGGCATTGTTGGAAAAAGTAAAAGGTAAACCAGAAAATGCTGTATCAAGATTCAAGAAGTGTGGTCTTATTCTATTTAATCCAGAGGCACTTGATTATACAATGCTTATAGATTCTACTTTGGCAGCATGACTGTTTTCATCGCTTTTGTTGCCTTTGTCTGTATCCTCAACTGAAATGTTAACTTTTTTGAGGTGCTCTAAAAAAGTGGAATCATTAATACCATAGATTGTCCTGGTAACATATCAAAGACAATTAGAAGAGGGTTATGACATTAAAGGTGATGCGACTGCTTCAGATTGAGAATGGAATATGTATAGGTGGTTCTATACTAATATAAATAAAAATAACATCTCAATTAAAAATATATTATATATATTAAATATATATATAATATATTTTTAATATAAATAAAAATAACATCCAAATTTTAACGCAGATGTCCTAACACCAAATGAAACTACAAAAATTGCTACAGCTACTACAAAAATACAAACCTCTAATAACTATACTTCTAGTATGCATAGCAACATCCAAAAGAACATAGATTGTGTTAAACCTGCACATTATATGTCAGTAATCCTAACAACTACAGTATCT